TTGCTTTCAAAAGATCTCGAATGCTTAGAAAAGATAAATCTCGGCTAACATCAACTGAAATTGTAAAAAATTAATTTTAAATTTAAAAAATAGGATTTTTTTCCACTGTAAAAAAAATATATATATATATATTCTCAGGGGTTTTTTTTTACGAAATAAATGGGGAAAAAATATAATGGAATTTTTCTCCGCTTATCTTATTCCTTGTTGTCATCATAAAACACAAATAAATATAAATGAGTAATTTCAAATTAAAATATTGCGTTATTGACTTTAAATTGTAGAAAGACATGTTTGGTTTCCTAATAAAATACTTTTTTTTTCTATGGGAAAACCCGAAAGAGAGAGAGAAACGAAATTCCCTTTTTGCGGATGGAAAAAAAAACTTACAATGGAAATAAAAAAGAAAGAGATATTTTAAATGTTTGAGCAAATCAATGTATTAATTATTCATTCTCAAGAGATAAAAACCAATTAAAATGCATTAAGAAATACGTTTGATGTGTAACTTCATCAAAATATCGGAACTTTAAAAAAAAAAGACTCCCGTTCCAAACTTAATGTAATTACATAATGATCTGATAGCATTGCAACTTTTTAAAATGTAGTCTCGTAAGCGACTGAAAGAAGGATAATAAGCATGGGGGAGGATGGCACCGAATGTTAAAAAAAATGGCAATTAAATTTTGACATACACTGATACATACATTAACTGAAAAGTGCACGTACTTGCGAAGAAAAATAAATTTTTTAAAGTATCACTGTTTTAAAAGCTTCCTTTCTTTTTTTCACTGTGGAAAGTGAAATTAAGTTAGGGCTTTCATCAAATTGTCTAGATTTCCCTCTTTGCAAGTTTTTTTTCTTTTTTAGGATTTTTTTTCTTTGGCCAAATTTAGTTACGCCTGTCTCATAAATTAATTAAAAGAGTAAAAGAGCTCTTATGCTCTTTTTTCATCTGACTCTGCAAAGATAAAAAATAACTTGTCAAGTCTTGCTTTACTTATTCAATGATTATACTTAGCTGAACAATAGAAATGCACACCACCATTACTAAAAAATAAACTCATTAGTTTACTTGGCAAGGATTTTGACAAAGTTATTTAAGTATTTAAAGTCCCCCAAAAAGACATTCTTCAAAATGGTACTATTTGACAAACACTTATTTTAAATTTAAAAGGCATTTGTACAAGACTAAATTGTAAGCGGCCGAAAATGTATTTTTTTCTTTTTTTTTGGAACAAGTGTTTGGATGAGCATCTAGAATCTTCTTCTTAGGCACTCTAATAAACGTATTTGTTAAAAGTAAATTAATGAAATTAAGTAATTATTGAAGGCATTAAAATACTCTTTGAATACGTTTTCATTCATTACAATTACTTATTCGAGGGTGAGTCGGAAGTTTCTCCTGTCGACTGTGGTCAGAGTTGTGTATGAAAGTCAAAACATGTAATGTGACATTAAAGATAAGGTATAACTTTATTTTTCCACGGAAGTACCAAGTTCATTGGGGCATTTGTCAAACCGCTGGTAAGCTTCAAAAAGCCTTAACAAACAAGACTTAAGATTACAAAAGTAAATGAATAAACTGGCCAACATGAAAATAACTACTTTATTCATTTTCATCCCTACTTGCCTACCTTGTAGGTATCTTTAAAGAAATCCCTTGTGATTCTTAAAATCCACAGATCTGCGAGTGGATTAGTACGTCGCGTTATTGTAGCCAGCAAAGCCCCTCTAAAAAGATTGATAGTGAGAGCAAAGCCCTTCTACCTTGAACTCTTTCATAGTAAATATTGAAGTAGCTGCTATCCGTCTTACCATCCTCCGATGAATCCTCACCTTCTTATCCACCGGCTTCGAAGTAACAGCGAGAAAGTCTTCCGGTTTTAGCTAAGAGTATGGAATCTGTTTCCGTCTCAAGCCACGAGGAGGAATCTATTGAATGCATCGGCTGCACATACACACAAATGAGTAGTACAAAAATTTGAACACTCTATAAAAAAATGCGCATTCTATAAACCCCATTGCAACGAGGCCGCGTTGAATGAGCTGGCGGAGAATCGATTGCGGCAAATATTTCCATTTCAATCCACACTTTAAATGAAACTCCAAATTTTGTTGATACCGCCCCACTTCAAGATATGCACAGTGATACGTAGAACCTAGGTGCGTCTTTTTTGAACGCACATGACGTGGCAAAATAAGTTTGCCTTATACCATTTTTTACCTTTACTTTAATTGTCTATTTAATATATTCGTTATACAGATGGGAGATACAGCAATAGAAACAATTACTGAAGAGCAAAAGAAGTTTTTTTGCAAATTTTTAGTGAGATAAACGCATCGCTATTTGCTACATATAAGTATAAAATAGATTGACTACCAACACTGCTTTTGCTTGGACAGTATGATTACCCAAGTATGATTTTCTGCATGGCAATTTTATGCACTGAAGCCAATAGTATACCCTTAAAGGTTAAAATAAAGACACATAAAATTGCAAAGAATCATATTATTCGATCAAGTGTAGTATAGGGGGCTACTTGGCGCAGTCCTTTATTTTGGTTACTAAAAGTAGTCTCCAAGGTACTTTTTTCGGTATTATTTATTTTAGAATGAATTCGATATCTCACCATGACATTTAGATAAAAATCGAAAAATCCGAAGAAACTCGCCAAATCCAAAGTGGCCCCCCCTATACTACATTTGAACCGAACTGAAATATAACCCTTATCAAAGAGAAGCTTTAGTTTGTCAAAATTATAAAAAAATCTTCGCATTCTAAATAAATAAATAAATAAGTTGTAATTTGCAAGCAAAATCACACACATAAACATCCCGCGATAATACCTAAATGTTGCCAAAACAACAAAACAAAATTTTAGTTGTTGAAAGAATAATCCTTAAAAAAATTATTTATTCCAAAAATAATCCCAATTAAATATCAAAGAATAGAAAAATTGAATAAATATTCCAACCTATTAACATAGCTACAGTAAAAATACGTAATAATATTGAAAAACTGCATGTAAAGTATAAATTGTCCACTTAGTGAGAAACGTGGCTACATATGACGTCATAACACTGGAAAATCACTTAAAAATTAAATTTTAAAAAATTTGGAAGGAATTAAGAACGCCAAACCTATTTAAGAACCTTTCTCGTGTAATTTTGTGTGCGTGTACCAAGTTTCACGTTATTTGGGTGTCTGGATCTCGAGTTATGAGGGAACAAACAGACAACAAATGCGTCATATATATATACAGTGACTCCCAAAATTGAGAGTACACTTAATTCCGAATTCACCATCGGATCACCAGGTGTAGAAATTAATATGCTATGTTAACGCACTTTTGTACATTCAAAATGCATACATTACTCTTCCAAATAACATTAAATGTAAGATGTGGAAATTGATTGAAACAAAAATGTGAAGGTTTGAAAGAAAAACTATACCATTTTAATGTCACAAAATTGAGGGTACACTTCTTTAATCACTATGTAAAACTACCAGTAATTTTTTAAATAGAAATTTGATAATAGATCTATGATAAAGGAAGGTTTTCAAAGGCTATCTGATAGCAAATTTATGTTTGTGATTTGATGTCTTGATTAAAATGGAGAATCGGAAGGAAACGACGATCGAAAAGAGAAAACTTGTTATTAAACTGTCAAATGAAGGTAAATCCCAGCGGAATATTGCTAAAGTACCTGGAAGAAGTGTTAACTGCATCTAAAAAATCCTGCAAAAATTTAAAAAGACTGGTATACTGGCAAATAACGAAGGAAGAGTAAGAAAGAAAATTATGAACTCTATAACCGAGCGAAGAGTTATACATCAAGTGAAGATTGATCCTAAAATTAGTGCTCCTAAAATTGCAGCCAGTACCTCTAATACCTTAGGTTGATCGGTTTCTGCAGAAACGGTACGAAGAGTCCTAAGAAAGGCTGGCTATAATGGTAGAGTAGCTCGAAAAAAGCCCCTAATTGGTAAGAGGAATAAAGTCAAGCGATTGAAATTCGCTAAAGAACACATTTTAAAGCCTCAACAGTTTTGGAACGAAGTCATTTTCAGCGATGAGAGTAAGTTCAACATCTTCCGCAGTGACGGTCGCCGTATGGTGTGGCGTAAACCCAATACCTCACACCACCCAAAACACAATTCCTACTGTGAAGCACGGAGATGGGTCGGTGATGGTTTGGGGGTGTATGGCTGCGCCGGGGGTGGGAAAGCTAGTATTCATTGATGGAGTCATGCACAAGATGGCTTATCTTAACATACTGCAAAATAATTTGAAAGAAAGTGCTGATAAATTGGGACACTGGGGTCGAATTTCATATTCCAGCAAGACAATGACCCCAAGCACACTGCGTTTGTTGTAAAAGAATGGCTGCTTTACCATTGTCGGAATCAACTTAATACACCTCCACAGTCTCCCGACTTAAATGTTATCGAGAATCTGTGGTCCCACCTTGAGAGAGCTGTGCAAAAACATCAAATTACAAGCAAGGAACAATTAAAATCGGTATTGCAAGAAGAATAGCTGAATATTGCTCCCGAGACCACTAGACATCTTGTGGTATCGATGCCGCGGTGATTGGAAGCTGTCATATCAGCAAAAGGTTATGCTACTAAATATTAACTCTTTATTATTCATGATTTATGCAGGAAAATAGATGCATGTACTCTCAATTTTGTGACCATTAATTTCTCTTAATTTTCTTTATAAGTTATTATATGTATATTTAAACTATCAAATATTTTGTTTTATCATTCAATATAATAAATTATGATCTAATAAACGCATCTATGCTTAAAGGTTTTAATTATTTCCCTCATTTAATATAATTTTTTCATTCTAAACATTGATTCCCGTTTTAAAAGTAGGTGTACCCTCAATTTTGGGAGTAACTGTATATATATATATATATATATATTAATTAAATTTAATTATTTCTATAAAATAGAACAGAAAAAAAGCCATTCTCCGAAATTAGGCCTTCCCAGGTGGAATTCGAACCCTTTGCATTAGAAGTCCAACGCGCTATCCATTGCGCCACAGGGACACAACGAACGGCTTTCTTTCTATGTCTGCAGTTGGACTACTATTTTTGTTGGTTATTGTTTATTCACTTTTTAGTTCAATTAATAGATTAATATTTGAAAAAATGTATAAACATCGAGTGTTATTCTCTACACAAGTTTTAAAGAATTTATTTGAACTTGAATGAATGAATTAAAAGTATTTTATTAACGATTGAAAATAAGATATTTTTATAGGGAGAGAGTGAATGAATAAAGTAGGAATTGAAAAATTATTTATTTTTAAAGAAATTTTTTCATTTGTTTATTATTTCTATGCTTTATTTCCATTTTTTAAATATATAATTTCCCCGGAAAGGTTAATTCATTTCTGCACAAAATTCTTTGAAGGCAAAAGATTGATTAGATCACCATTATATATATATATATATATATATATATATATATATATATATATATATATATATATACGTTCCCTAAATAAAAATCTATCTTCATCTGAATATTAATGACTTATATTAACGCAAATGCAATTTAACGAAATTTTGTTACACTAAGGAAGTATATAAGAGAGGGAAAGAAAATATTGCTTAAATGTAACCGAGAAAACCAAAAAGTTCAACAGAAGCGAAACACAGAAGCTAAAGAAAATTAAATATTTGTAAAGGGAAGTTTTTCCCTTGCTTTTTTAGCGCTAGAATTTATTACTTTCATAAAGATAACTATGAATAAAAAGAAAATGGAGCTGAAATTAATTTAATAAGAGAATATATATATTTAAGTATATTTTCTCTATCCAGACTTTTAATCAAATTACTTCGCTCGTTCTGAGTCTTTTTTGTGTATATATTTAGAGAAATATCTTTAAAATTTTACATTTTAACAAATATATATATATATTTCTTCCTTTAAATTAATGAAATGAAAAATTATTTTTAACACTATATGTGTGATTTCTTAAAAAATATCACATCCAAAAAATAAGTAAAAATATGTTCTATAAAAAAGAAAAAATCGTGATGTAATTTTTCAGACTAGCTAATCCTTTTCTTCTTTGAAATTCATTTTTACAGAGAATTAAGATGTTCCAAAAATTAAATAGAGAAACAAAAATATATTTCTATAGAATCACGGATTTTTATGAAGTTCTGTATTCGTCTAGACAGCGTTTATCATTTTAATAAGCACATACTCTTAACATTGCGCTGTTTTTATATAACCTTAAACTAATTAATTACTGAAGCTATTCTAAGGCGTTTTGTAGGATCTAGGGATTGTAATATCGGACTAAAAGTTCAAGACCAGCATTCCTTACGTCTTAATAGCGGTCATAGAAATGTCAGAAAAAGAATCAAAACGCGGGTTTTATTCGAGTGTAAATATCACAAAAAACAATGCGTCACTTATAAATTATAACGGTATATAAAAGATCACAAAAAAAAGGAAGGGGACATCTTATTTATTTAAATCACAGAAAAAGTGTAAGCCTCTCTATTCAGTCTGGGGTCTGACGTTTTCATCATATAAATAATAAAACCAAACCGAAGCATATTATCAACTGATTTTTTATGTTCTTTAAAGTTATTCTTATTCATTATTATGGGATATTATTTATTAGTGTATATATAATAAATCTGAAAAATATCTTAAACCCTAAAGTATGATATGCAAATGCAATGCGAATAACAAATTCTCACCAATTTAAAAAATATCAAAACTTTACGCACTTCACTACAACCTTGTTTTCGCAAATTCGAATATCAGACTACGAATCCTGTGCGTGTGTAGTATCGTTCTGGGCTGCAATAGAATAGTTTTGGCACACCTCCCCTTGGATGATTCATATATTTTATCACTTCTCTTGATTGTACGATGCAACTTTGTTTCCACAGTTTAAATAATTTCTCCCGTTAGGAAGACATAAAAACAAAAACGTATACTACTTTGCCATGTTGACAATCCCTGAACTTACAATGGAGACAGTTTAAAAAATGTCTAGGAAATACCGAAAAGCCGGTATTTAAACTTGTGAAGACCGGTATTAAAAAATTGTACAAATGGCTCAAACCACCGGTATCCCTAGTAGGATCAGATGATCTCTCTCTCGGAATATGTGAGTTAGTTTCTTTTTCATATTCCGGGATTTTTGAAAGGTTTATGATTTCTGGGAAATATTAATTCGTTGCAAAGCACAATGCGAAATCTATTGGCGAGTAATTTTTTTGAGAATTCCTATTTTAACACACTTTTATTAACTTCACCTGTGTGCAAGGGAATCTTTGAATTTGATTTTTATCCACTTTAAAAGGTCAGATTAATTTCAAAATTCGCACACTTGTCAAGTACCGATGACAATACAATAATTTAATAACTTCGTTCCATTGTCCAGATCGGGATTAACGATTTCCCATTTCTAGATTTGGCGACTAAAAGATTAACTTACAGCCCTAAAGCAAAAACGTTCATAGTTAATACAAATACAACAAATAAAAAAGATTAATTCATCAATGAATAAAAGATGACTTAAAAAACGAAAAAAAAATTCGCTTATATTGTAGATCGAATTAAAAAAAGAAATATATATATATAGTTTAAAAAACTAAAAAAAACACGCTTTTATAGTGAATCGAACTAAAAAGTAAACAATAATTCTTAATATAAGAACAAAATGAGTAACGAGAAAATTAATGTCATTATGGTAAAAGCGTGGGGTGCTCGATATTAATCGTTCTAATTTATTACTATTTCTATTCCGGAGTGCAAAATTAGTGTAAAAATGTAGAACAAAACACACACACACACACACCACGCTTTTACCACAATGACATTCTTATTTTCTCGTTAATAATTTTATTTTTATATTAAAAATTATTGTTTACTTTTTAGTTCGATTCATTATAAAAGCGGGTTTTTTAGTTGTTTTTTTAACTATAAAATATTTTTTACGTTCAGTTCCCATCTATCAGCCCTTTTAAATACGAAAAATTAGTAGATATATGGTTAGTTTGAATTACTAATAAAATTATCCAAGATATATCTGGATAAATCTATTCTGTTTATTAACGGATCCCTAATGCAAAAGCACATTGCGCTTTCTTGTAAGCTTTCTATTTCATTTATATAAATCGATGCTCTAGTTTAGTTTTGATGAGAAAAGTAGAAAGTATGTAGGTCCCCCATTGCTTTCACTACTTGTATATCGCCGGTCAATGGAGGCTTGAATATCCAAATGCCCAAGATGGGATTGCCAAACAAAATAGGCACTAAATAGTGGCATTGTTTAAAAGAAGCATTTTTATGATTTCTGAGCTTGTGAGATTACCTTGAAATAGCAAAACAAATCTGGAGAAATAAATGCAACTCTAAATGGGCCCAAAAATGAATACACCCAACTTGATATATCTTGATCTTAATGTGTCGTGTTCTACGCTACCTACTCTGCAAGTAAATGCAATAACAATAAAACGAGGAATACTAGGATATGTTCTTGGGGGAATGAGGTACATTCAATCTTAACTTTATAATGGTGGAGAACTTTAAAAGAATCTTTGTAAAGTGTCGTCCTCGTCACTCCACCATGGCATAAGAATTATTAAGTCCACCACCAATACCCGTCGTGGTGCTTCACAACTCGACAACAATAAACAATCAATTAATACTAAGTATTATTAACCGTATATATATATATATATATATATATATATATATATATATATATATATATATATATAAATAAGCTAAACTTATTAAGTATCTCCTCTATATTTTTCCTAAAAAGAACATAGTATACAAATCACTGTGATGCAGTTCACTTCATCTTCTTGCATGCTTGCATACACCATTTTCAGGAAATGAATTTATGCTCTCAAAAAGATATAGAATCGATCAAGCAAAGTAAAATCACACAAACTGAAAATAAAAGCGAGCGTCACAAATTTATTATGCCAAGATCGATATCTAATTATAGGGTATATCTCCCGTGTTTAAAAAAAAATGTCGTATTATCTCAAGTGTTGAAAAATCCTCTCTATTTTTCCTTTGGTGTTGGAAAGTCTTTTCTATTTGGAAGGGGTTTATAATTTAGATTAAAAAGAAAAATTTATTTTAAGGGATTATTAACATAAAATCCGGAGAATACGATCTATTCTGAAACCAAGAAAAATATAATTTAAAAAGAAGCCAATTTTATCCTTTGAAACTTAATTCTGTTAATTATTAGGAGAAAAAATAGCACTTAAGAAAGAACAGAAGAAGCTTAAAAGAGAACTTTTTCACTTAGAGACATCTTCTTTTATAGTTTATTTATGAAAATAACTCGTATGCTATTTTACGAAAGTATGTGGAGATGAGAAATGAAAACCAGTATTAAATGATAATTAAAACAATAATGAATAAAATCTCAAAATGAATCGATAGTGTTGAAATTTTTAGAAATATATGGTATGAAGATATTGAGAAGCTTCTTTCACACACTATGCAGTTGTTTTTTTAATTTATAAACTTATGCAAATATATGAACATAGTATAGTCTTACGCATATGTACTTTCTCATCGTTAACATTATCTTTCTAAAAAAAATAATATTATTCTGAATAAAGTCAGTATCACAGATCAAATCATTCCTTTGATCTTTTTTTCTCAAATATTCGCATCCATTTAATAATAAAAAACTGTTGTAAATGCTCGAAATGTACGTAAAAATAGCATTTAAATTTCTTCAAAATAAATCACGAACGTTCGATAAGAAAATAATCTATAAAATAACAAACCGTTAACAAGCAAAACACACCAACAGAATCAGTAAGAAGCATTTTGTTAATTTTGTGACGATAGTGCACATTCTATCACAGCATGCCACCGATCAAAGATAGGTTTTGAAACTTGCCTACAGGGGCTTATCAAAATAATTATATTTATAATGAATCCCAATTAGTATAGTGTAGGACCCCCTTTGGCATGTAATATAGCTTGGATTCGGTTCACACAAGGGCTGAATTGCGTTTAAAGGAATAGTCCTTCAGGG